TATCCGCCCCCAACCCCTTGAAGGTTTAGCTTGTTGGGTGGCAGTGGTGCTGGCTGCGGGTCTTTATGCAAACACATGTGGTCATTGCATCCGATTGCAAGGAAGCTGTTTTGAACATCTCTAAAGGCAGTGGAGGAAAACATGCCCATGCCATCAAGGAGATCAAGTTAATGTCCTTAGATTTATGGTCTTGTTCTTTTATTTTTGAACGTAGAGTTTCGAATATTAAGGCACATAGCCTTGCTAGATACTCCCTCCGTCCTTTAAAGAGTGTACTTCCAACTTTTTTGGAAAGTCAAACTTTTTTATATTTGACCATGTTTATATAATAATACATCAACATTTATGCCATCAAATTAGTAGCATTAGATTCGTGATAAAATATACTTTCATCATATACCTATTTGATTTCACAAACATTGATATATTTTTGCACAAACTCGGTCAAACTTTGAAATAGTTTGACCCTCCAACAAAGTTGGAAGTACACTCTTTAAAGGACGGAGGGAGTACGCGTTTAGCCTTTTCAGTTGGTCGCCATGTTTGGCTTCTTCAACGTCCAGACTTAAGTTGTACTCCCTCCGTTCCTAAATAATTGTCTTTCTAGAGATTTCAATAAGTGACTACATACGGAGCAAAATGAGTGAATCTACACTCTAAAACATGTCCACATACATTCGTATGTTGTAGTTCATTTGAGATGGCTAGAAAGAAAATTATTTGGAAATAGAGGGAGTAATAGCTAGTCATCCATGTTTTTTTTTTCAAAAACCATTCATTCAAATTTTTTACTAGCACTAACTATTGATTCATTAGTTGGACCAAGACCATGCAAAAGTCAAGAGTGGGGAAACCAGTGAAGAAGGATACTTAAAGCACCATTTTTCTTCTCGAAAGCATACTCATCGATCGGTTAAGAGTACGCTTTGAGCCTTTGACGATTATACACACCACTGACTGACTAATATGAACACAAGGGTGGGGTTAACAAACGGAACGGAACAAAACGATCCTTGAATTCAATGCCCATCGATCGGTGAGAGTGGCTCTTTGTGATTCACGGCACCGCATGGAACTTCGCGCCGTCCCGTCCAATCCAATCCAATCCGGGCGGTTAATTACCAGCAGCACCCGTGTAGACCACACGCCTACTTAAACCACCCACCCCTGAGTCCTTGACCTCCACCAAACCCCTCACAATCTGCCACCACCCACACGAGCTCTCAACCCGCCCGCCATGGCAACGGTGAGCAACCAGTCTCACCTCCTCCATCCTCTGATCCATCCATGGATTCTGCCGCGCCCATCTAATCGAGCTTAACCTGCTGGCTCCTCTTGGCAGGAGGGAGCCAAGCACGCGCGGTTCAGCCTGCAGGTGGACATGCAGTGCCGGTGCATGGGCTGCGTCGGCAAGGTCGAGAAGGCCATGGCCGCCGTCGGCGGCTTCACGGGTAGGGTACCAACGCGTCTACGCACCCTTCCTGGCGTGACATGGCTCTCCCGTTTGCTTTTTTACCTCTGTTTTCTCCCTGAAAACCCTTTGATTGACGGCGACACCCGGGGGCATCCGTTCTGCTTGGTTTTTCGGCGCGGCAGGGGTCGAGACGTCGGCGGGGGACGTCGACGCTGGGGTCGTGGCCGTGGCGGGGAAGGTGGACCCGGCCGAGCTCTGCCGGTGGCTCAAGAGGAAGACGAGGAAGGATGTCAAGATCGTCTGCCCTCATCCGCCGGCTGAGGATCCTAAGCAGGTATGTTAAGTGTCCATCTTGTCTACTAAGTACCTTCAGATTGAAGGATCATGTGTACCACCAGTGTTCTGTGTCATATCCAAACGAATGTACTACTCCTGAAGTTTGATATGGTCTGTACTTGGCTTGGTAGAATGATAATACAGAGATCAAATTGCATGATAAGTAGTAGAAACCAGAGAACCTATTGGTCTAAAACCGTTGTAAAAGAAGAGATCAATCTGCAGGCCCAAACCGTGAATTTGATTGACAGATTTTTACAAGTTCAGAGAGTGATTTTTTTTTCCAGTTTCCACAATTACCTCCACAACTCAGACTAAACCCCGCTTCTTGTTTGCAGAAAATGATACTGGTTCTGGGAAGCAGCTCAAGAACCAGGGACGCGACGCCGTCAGCTCCACCGCTACCGCAACATTTCTCCAGCGCTCTAGCATCATCAGGAGTTCAGTCTGACCACGATGATCTGCATCTGATCGAGGAGAAGATCAGGGACCTCGAGAGGGCCAGGGACGCGTTGAAGGTCAGGAGCCTGAAGAACGAGCTGAGTGCAGCCAAGTCTGAGCTGAAACAATCAAGGGAGGTGATCAGCAACAGTAAGAAGGCTCTGCTAGACAGTGCCCTGAGCCAGCTCGACGCGTTCAAGAAACTAGAATCACTCACTCAGGCCACCATGTGACTGAGCCTATTCAGTCCATGGTTTCGCCGTCATGCTCTGTAGTACCAGCATGGTCGCTGTAAACCTGTTGTTATCAAAACTTTCTTAGAGTTTTCGTGCTTCTCTGAAGCCTGATGTTATTGTATTGCTGTCTGAAGTGACGATAAGATGTGGGTGTAGATTTCCATGCTGGTACAGCAGTTACCCTGCTGGATGTTTTGGTATATCTGTCACTGCATTTCATTTCATTCACTGAAATATGAACAAGGGACACTGCAGAGTGCAGAGCTACCTTTGTTCAGATAGAAGTTAGATTTCAGCAGTGACCTTGTAACAAATCAAACTAGTAAGTGTATCATTTTACTCTGTAGATGTTCACTGGTTCAGACTTAATAGCATGAGTATCAAACTAGCTGGCAGCTGAGAACTAGGGCAGTGAGGCAAATTGCAAATGAAAGCGCGCTCGCGTGCGCGCACACACACACACAGATGACGGGCACCAAGGCAGAATTCAAGATCTTTGAGAAAAGTGCGAGATGCCGATGCTGGGGTCATTGCCGTCGCGGGGAAGGTGAACCCGGTGGAGCTCTGCCAGTGGTAGAAGGGGAGGACGAGGAAGGACGTCAAGATCGCTCGCTCTCACCCACCATCTGAGAATCATAAGCAGGTGTACCTTTTCTCTACTACCTTCAGAATGAAGGGCACTGTGGTGTTCTGTGTAATATATGTAATGACCAAATGATTCCACTTCTAAATTTTGATAGTATGTACTTTAGTAACCACTGTGAATAGCAAGAAAGATCATATGTGCTCTGTACTTACCAGAAAGAGAATACAAACACCAAAATTGCATGAACCATGTACAAGAACAGATAAATCTACAGGCCCAAACACTGAATTTGATTGACAGTTTTTAGAAGTTCAGAGAGTGACTTGTTTCCTATTTCCACAACGCGGACTAAACCACTAGAACTTGTTTGCAGAAAATGATATTGGTTCTGGGAAGCCGTTCAAGAAGCGGGCGCACGATGCCGTCAGCTCCACCGTTACCGCAACATTTCTCCAGTGCTCTACCACCATTAGGAGTTCAGTCTGACCACGAGGATGTGCACCTGATCAAGTAGAAGATCAGGACCTCGAGAAAGCCAGGGATGGGTTGAAGATCAGGAACCTGAAGAATGAGCTGACTGCAGCCAGGTCCGAGCTTAAACAAGTCAAGGGAAGTGATCAGCGATAGTAAGAAGGCTCTGCTTGCCCTGAGCCAGCTCGATGCGTACAAGAAACTAGAAGCACTCTCGGTCAGGCCACTATGTGACTGAACCTATTCAGTTTCATGGTCTCGCTACTATACCATATAGCATGATCCGTGTAAACTTTGTCATGTCATTACCTAGCATGAAAATTAAACCTTTCATTCTGAACCCTGACGCATCGTGTAAAGTGCCAACAACAAGCCATGGAGTGTAAATTTCCATGCCACTAGCAGTGATCCTGCTTGATCCTTTGGTGTGCCTCTCACTGCATTTTATTCGCTCTTTAGTATAAATTTTGCTACTGCATTCAGGAACCACACACAGGGTAGGATAACATCTGTTCAGAAATGGCTATTTAGACAGAACACATAAGTTAATTTTCAGCTGTGACCTTGCAAAAAAGCAAACTACATGTATCATGTGCCTCTGTAGGTGCTCAATTGTTCCTGCTTGGCAACTAGAGAACTGAGAACTAGAACAGTTCATGCTTATCCACATTAATATGTGAACTAGTTGAGACCTGAGAACTAGAACAGTACGGTGGCATGAGGCAACATCGAAGTAGCATGTTAACACTTTATTTTGTTGCCCCTTACACATTTGCAAAGCAACACATAGTAGTATGGCGCAAAGGCAGAGAATTGAAGGAACGCACTGAACACTGATGCCTGTCTGTCAGACATGCCACCTACGGTCGCCGTCGTCATCGAGTCGGAGGTAGATGCTATTATAATAACAGCATGTTCGCTGTAAACCTTGTTGTTAGCTAGTATGCAAATCAAAACATTCTTGAGGTTTTCGTGCATCTGAGATGCCTTTCCTGAAGTGACAACAAGATATGGGGTATAAATTTCAGCCACTACAGCAGTAACCCTGCTTGACCTTTTTGTGCATTTTTTTTACTGCATTTCTTTTCTTTTTACTGAGAAGTGATTCAGAAACATTGCAGAGTTGCCTCTGTCTAGATACAAGTTAAGATTCAGCAATGACCTTGCAACAAATCAAACCAAATGTATAATTTTCCTCTGTAGATGTTCACTGGTTCAGAGTTAATAACATGAGTATCAAATTATCTGGGAGCTGAGACTAGGAAAGTGAGACAACATTGAACAGCATGTTACAATCAAAGCCTAAATTTCCGCATTTTTTTACTAGCCTGCTGTGTATTGCAAATCAACGCACACATGTACTCCCTCCGTTCCAAATTACTTGTCGCGGACATGGATGTATCTAGACGTATTTTAGTTCTAGATACATCCATTTTCGCGACTAGTAATTCCGAACGGAGGGAGTACACAAATGACAGGCACGGGGGGCAGAGTTCCAGAGACGCACTGATGGTTGTCAGACATGCCGCCTATGGTCGCCGTCGTCGTCGACGTGGAGGTTGACGCCGTGGCTGCGGAGCGCGTTGAGGATGGCCCAGACCTTGGTGCGGTTCTTGAAGCCCTTCTTCTCGACCTCCTTGGCGGCGTCGGCGTGGATGGGCTCGCGCGCCAGGCCGTCGACCCGGAGGCGCATGGCGAGCACCTCGCCGACGGCCGCGGCCGCCTTGGCGTTGCAGGCGCGGCCGCACTCCAGCCCGTCCCGGAGGGGCTTCTCGACGGTGGAGGCGGTGACCACGACGCGGCCGCTCTGCCGGTCCACCACGTTGGCCGTCACGTACTTGAGCGAGATGAAGAGGCGCAGCACGTACCGCTTGGCCTGCGCCATGGGGACCTGGCCCGCCGCGTCCGCCGCCGCGGGAGCTGCCGGGGGCGCGCCTAGCACGCGTGGAGGCAGTCGAACGCCTCTGCGGCGTTTCGACGAGCAGCTGGGGCGCGCCCGGTTGAAAGAGGGGGACAGGGGGCCGTGCGACGGGGAAGGACGGCAGGACTGGGCGGGGAGGACCGCCGGTTGGCGAGGCCGGAGGAGGGTCTACGCTGAGGAAGAAGGGAGGGGGGAGGGGGGAGGCGGGGCGACGTCGTCCGGCGTGGTTGCGCCGTCTGTGCGGGGAGAGGCAGAGGACGTGATAGACCAGATGCAGGAGTTACTGCTATTTTCCCAGCGAAGTCTGAAATAAACTCTGTGGTTGCCGAACTCAACGCAAATGAGCCCTCACCTCTAAATAAATCTTTAGAGCAACTCCAAGGCGGCCACCTGTTTTGTCCGTGCCCCTCTGTTTGTGTCACAGCGGACAGAAAAGTCCGCCCAAAGCGTCGACCCAAACAAACGTACATCAGCTTTTATCCGTCTGTCGACACATTCACAGCTCATTTTTTAGCCTGATTTGCATTGACACAGACACGATGCCCGCCAGTCAGTAGCAAAGCTTCTACCATTTCCCTCCACTTTCCCAAAAACTCTCCCGCCCCCGCGCGCTCCCGGCCGCTCGCCATGGACGACGCCCTCGATGCAGCCGCCGGCCTCGCTTCCCTCGCCTCGTCCGGCATCACCTTCACCCCCTTCGACAAAGGCAAGCCCCTCACCCCCCTGCAAAACCCCTACCCTTCCCCCTGCAAGACCGCCACGGCGTCCAAGAAGAAGAAGCAACTGACGCCCGAGGAGCGGGCCGCCGAGTCAACGAAGAGGAAGGGTCGGAGGCACGCGACAGAAGCAAGGGACAAAGCAGTGGCCACTGCCGACCTCGCCGTCGCCGCGCAGCAAGAGGACACCAACGCCCGCATCACGGCGGCAACGTGGGAGGCCCTGATCTGCCTAGGGTTTAACCCTGCCCAACACGGGCTCATCCACGCTGCCGTGGCCGCTGCCAGCACTGGCCCGTCCGCGTTTCCTCAGATGGTTCGAGAAGATGCATGCCGACATGCTCAAGTTTGACGACGAGTGGTCTATGGCGGCATGCGCCATCATTTTTTGTATGCCAGTGTGCTGGCATGACCACGGTCGAGATGGCATGGTCGAACTCCCGCCCTTTTTTGAGTGCCGGCAAGAACTATGTGATGGTCTTTTCGAAGGCTGGTATTGTATGCCGGCCGCCGGCATAGTGTCGTCATGAACTTTGGGCGGCGGCATGGCCGCTAACATGATCTATGACCGCGGACCTTTTAAATTTGTACGTGGACATGAAATGAGTCGCTTGCATTGGGCACACGACTGGCGCAAAAAGAAAACAGGGCGGATGGCCGAACCAAACAGACAAAAAAGCGGACAAAATTGTTGTCGGCTTGGGTCGGCGCGTTGGAGTTGCTCTTAGGCGATTTAACGAGTGAATTTGATGACGTGGCAACTAAAGAGTAGGATTGCTGACTTTGACCATGACAACTTTCTTTGCCGAGCTGTATTGCTGCCACATCGCTGCGCTTGTCAGTGGGTTCGAGCCACAAACCATCTCGTGCTGCCATGGCGCGAAGCCGGCGCCTGAGCCCATGTGGTTGCTGCTCGTGCGCTGCCTGCGAGAAGCCGGCGAAGGTCAGCGAGGAGGAGCGGATGGTGTCTTGCTCGCCGTCCACTTTCGGCCTCTCGAGCACCCTGCAGAGCACCGAGTCCTCCTGCCGAATTAAAATGTCGTGCAATTTAGATCGATCTATCTTTTTAATGTTAGCTTTAAAATCTTTATCAAAATTGAGACTAATAGGTTTACATAGATTGCATATTTTATGATGCAGTCGTCCCAAATTGCTTTCATGCCGGATAGAAATATTCTAGAAGGGGTTGTGGTTCTGCATGAAACGCTTCATGAAATCCACACGAAAAAACTAGACGGAGTGGTTTTCAAAGTGGATTTTGAGAAAGCATACGACAAGGTAAAATGGCCATTTCTTCAGCGGGCTTTGCGTACGAAAGGATTCGATCAGGCCTGGAGAGACCAGGTAGATTCATTCACACAAAAAGGGAGTGTTGGAATCAGGGTTAACGATGACATATGTCATTATTTTCAGACACACAAGGGCCTGCGACAAGGAGATCCGATGTCGCCGATTCTGTTTAACATTGTCGTTGACATGTTGACAATCTTAATAGGACGGGTCAAGGATGATGGTCAGGTAGGTGGCCTCGTCCTGCATTTAGTTGACGGGGAAGTGTCTATCCTATAGTACGCTGATGATACTATCATCCTTATGAAGCATGATTTGGCTAAAACTAGAAATATGAAGCTTGTTTTATGCTTGTTCGAACAATTATCGGGGTTGAAGATTAACTTCCACAAAAGTGAATTGTTCTGCTTTGGAAGAGCTAAAGAAGAACAACAAGCTTACAAAGAATTGTTCTGGTGTGAATTGGGATCTTTACCCTTCACATATTTGGGTATACCAATTCACCATCGCAAGCTCTCTAACAAAGAGTGGAAGAGCATTGAAGATCGATTTGAGAAAAAACTGAGCTGCTGGAAGGGCAAGCTTATGTCATACGGAGGACGATTGATTCTGATTAATTCGGTTCTCACGAGTATGCCTATGTTTTTGTTGTCTTTTTTCGAAGTACCAGTTGGAGTACAGAAAAGGCTAGACTTCTATCGATCGCGCTTCTTCTGGCAGAGCGATGAATTAAAAAGAAAATACAGACTCGCTAAGTGGGATATCATTTGTAGGCCGAAAGACCAAGGAGGTCTAGGCATTGAAAATTTAGAGGTAAAGAACATATGTCTTTTCATCAAATGGCTGTATAAGTTATCTGTAGAGACTGATGCCACTTGGACACAGATTCTTCGTACTAAGTACCTCCAGTCCAAAGCTTTGTCCCAGGTGACGGTAAGACCGACTGATTCGCCTTTTTCGAAGGGACTCATGCGAGTGAAATCAGCCTTCTTCAATAGGACAAAATTCGTAGTTGGAAACGGTACTTCCACAAGATTCTGGGAGGATATATGGCTAGGGGAGGCACCCCTTGCGATCCAATATCCCTCTCTCTATAATATTGTTCAGCGAAGAGATGCTTACGTTGCAACAGTACTACAATCAAATCCTCTTAATATTCAATTCAGGAGGACGCTAGTAGGAAATCGTTGGGAAGCTTGGTTCCATCTTGTGAGACGACTGATGGATGTCCAACACTCTCAACAGCCAGATCAGTTTCACTGGAAACTAGCTAAGAATGGGGAGTTTTCAGTTAAATCCATGTATTTGGATATTATCAACACTAGCGTTATTCTTAGTTCGAAACATGTTTGGAAAGTCAAAGTGCCTTTGAAAATCAAAGTGTTTATGTGATTTGTCCACAAACAGGTCATCTTAACTAAAGACAATTTGGCAAAACGCAATTGGACGAGTTCTAAAAGATGTAGTTTTTGTGATAGTGATGAATCAATCAGACACCTCTTTCTTGATTGCCCTTTGGCAAAGATTTTGTGGAGGTCCATCCACATAGATTTTAATATAACTCCTCCGAATTCCATCAATACGTTATTTGGGACGTGGCTAGATGGGATTGACGTAGTAACAACGAGACATATCCGCGTAGGAGTATGTGCTTTACTATGGGCAATCTGGAACTGCAGAAATGATTTTGTTTTTAACAGAACAACAAATATTCATTTCTTGCAGGTTATCTCCAGTGCCACTACACTCATCCGTATGTGGTGCTACTCACTCCTACGGAGATCAGGGAGCATTTGGTTACTAGATCTATCTGATGGGAGACAGTAGCTCGGGCTATCTTCAACCGGTTTGGATGACGGTCATGTAATAGGATATGTCTTTAGTTTTCTGTCTGTTTTTTGCCCGCCGGTTGTGGTTGTCCCTTTTTTGCTTTCGTGCGCTCTGTTGAGCACCTGTTCTTTTGTTGGAGACTATGAGACTTCTGTTGAACCTTTTACTTATTAATAATATGGCCGTATGCATCTGATGCAGACGCCGGGGCAAACCCCTTTTTGAAAAAAATGCATCCGGACAGACAAGAGGATGACGCGCGCTTTGCCGCGCCGTCCTACTATGGTGTGTTAAGCCTCTCGTTTTCTTACACGGGTTGTTATTGTCAGTTGATTTGTTGTGTATTTCATTTAAGCTATGGTGCAGCTGTTTGTGTGAGAGACAATTGGATGTGCGAAGCTCAATACAATGCCGGGACAAAAAAAATCCATACAACGCATGTGCTATTCAGTTTGCTACTTAACATTTTGGCAAGTATATATGGGAACATACGTGGGCAATACGTTAGCATTAGCTAGTCCCAAAATGGTAACTGTCGATCATCTTTCCACTGGCCTGCTCTTAGCTAGTCCCAAAATTTAAATCAAAACAATTAAAGTTTGGGCCAATCTTGTTGGTACCACACTGTATGATGTGTTGCACACGTACAACAGCATCGATCTCACAGGAGTCTGGCGTGGTATTGATGTCAAGAAACCCACATCGTATGACTCAATTTTGTTCACCCGGAGGATACTTGAATACATCATAGTTGTTGCCTACTCAAATATTTGCATTTTTGTCTCTGAATGTCCCTTTTCAAGTCCACACATCCAAGTATCCCTCCAGTAACCGATAAATTATAAACTCGGATAGCTGTCTAAAACATGGCTAAGTTCTATATAGTGATCGAGGCGGGGACAGAGAAAGGGGCAATGAAACATACCTTTTGCTTAATATAAGAGAAACAAACTATAGTAACTGCAAAAATGGCTAATTATAACGCCATGCCCATAGTAGAACAAATTGGTGGCGTCTTCGTGCGGCTGGATCCGGAGCTTCGGGGTGGCAGCCCGTGCTCCTCGCCTGGTGATTTTGGTCTGGTGGTGTGCGTCGCGCCGGCTGCGGCTCTTTGTGGGAGGTGCTGCA